TCAATGCGCCAAAGTCAAGGATACAACAACGGCCGAAAGGTTGGCAGCAGAAGACAGACACAATCAAAAGAAGGCCTAAGGCTTTCAGATGTCAGGAAGGCTTTTAGGCAACGGAAATGTAAGCGAATGCTTCGAGACTTCAGACAACAGAAACCTAGTCGAATTTAACGGCACTACAGTTAACAGAAATTTAAGCTAATGCTTTGAAGCAAAGGAACAGCTAAAGTCTTATTTCGAAGTGAGACTCAGCCTTTGTTCTGAGCGTTTCGTTTGCTGGAAGATTGGTCTCTTTAGGCTCGTATGCAGAACTGGTAGTGTCGAAGTCCACGTTCTGCGAAGGAGGTGTCGTAAATTGATGACGATGCGAATATTGCTGTCTGTGAATCAATTTTCTAAAATCCGTTTGACTGCAGGAGCATCCAGAGTGCGGAAATCTCGAAGAAATTTAACCCCTCGGAGGTCAAATTCTTGTTTCAGGTTTCACTTTTCCAAAACGACAGTTCGTCCGTCGATTTCGACGATGACCACCGTGTGCCCCACAGACTGCATTGTGGGAGCAGGGACGGTGACTTACGCAGGGGTTTATAGTGCCAGTAGACTTGCGCTGCATCTACCTACACTCTCTCCACCTCCCTCGCCCGAGCCCGGTGTCAAGACAGAGTCAAGAAGACCGGAGACGAGGGAGGCCGCAGGTCGATGGCTCGGACGGATCCTCACCTTGGCGTTCCACCACACCCCCTGGTCCACACAACAATAACCAGGATTTGAACCAACACAACAGAGATTTGGAGGCTGGCACGGCCGAAGCCGCACCTGGGCGTGCCGCCAACGCCTGGCTCGGATCCCACACTGTGGTGGGAATGCCATAAAGGCCACATTAAAAAGGAGCCATTGCAGCCTGACTCTCAGACCGCCTCCCGTTAAGGAGGAGGTCCAAGGTACCCCGTCAGTTGGCAACCTTCCAAGCCACGGCTTTTAGCGCACCGTGGTAGCTTCAAGCGCGTCAGATTGATTATAGTGAGGAGAAAGTGCGCTGAGTCGTCGACCTCACTCTCCCTTCCCATTCCCACACCTCAGCCGCTGTCCAAGCCGGTCAGTAGACTGGAGTGGGGAGTGGGCGCGGTGGCTGACATGGTCGACTGACCATGCCTGCGCGCGCCACAGCACGACCTGGCCCCCCATACACACAAACACCAGGGTTTCACACACCGAGGGTTGGACGGCGTGTCTCTCACTTGCGTGAGAGTGCCGTGGAAGGTGCTGTTGCAGCCCGTTCCCAGCCCACCAGTCCGCCACTACACACAACACACACACAACGTGACGAACTGCGTGAACCGAGAGCGGGCCTCAATCAGCAACCTTCCTATCCACGACGCTTGACGTGTCGGGATAGTCTCGGACACAAGTCACCCGTGCAGTCGAAGCCGCATGGAGACCGAGTCGAGATGCACACTTCCCACTTGCGTGGAAGGTGGCAAATGGTGCATGCGGTGGGTAAGTGTTGATGTATGTTGGTGATGGTGGAGGAGGGTAGGGAGTGAGTGAATGTGTGGTGTAACCGGCGGTTGTCTACCCCAGGTCGTCGTGGATGCGCATGTGGCCGAATAGACCCATGGGATGCGTGAAGGTGCGAGGGCAGTGTGGGCAGTGGAGGCGAGTACGGTGGGAGTAGGTTGGTGCTCCAGGCACTGGTTCGCCAGTCTCTGTGTGATGGATTCGCAAGTGGCCCACCAGGCCGATGCGTGAGGTGAAGGTGCGTGGACAGTGTGGACATGAGAGGTCAGCGGTGTCGGTGCCAGCTGTAGAGGAAGCAGTGGTGGCGGTGGTGGTGGTGGTCGGCGCGTGTGACGGTGGAGCGATGTTGGGTCTGGGCGTG